TCTGGCTTTTATGGTCCCCGAGATAATAACTTCCCCGCCGAAATTTTCACAGGACGTAGGTGATACTCGAGAGCGCGGGAATGCTGAATTTGGATTTGCGAAGTTTCGTGGGCAAGAAAAGATCATTACCCCGAAACTTCAGCTTCCTAGCTCCCGTAGTTCCTGAGATTATAATCTTCCCCTCCAAAACTTTCACTGGGTCGTACGTGATACCCAAGCGCATGGAAAGCCGAACTTAAATTTTCTTGGTCACACGTGGGCATGAAACATACCCATAAAGTTTCAGTTTCCTAGCTTCCGTGGTTCCCGAGTTAAAAATTTCCCCTCCAAAAATTTTACGGTGCTATACGAGTCACCCGCGGGCATGGGAAGACTGAATTTAAATTTGCTGGGTCACGCGTGGGCGGGAACATCCGCCTAAATTTTCGGCTTCCTAGTTTTCGTGGTTCCCGAGTTGAAAGTTACGGACAAGATGCATCGAACACACACACACACACAGATACGTGCATACATACACTCACAAACGACCCTGTGACAGCATGCGTCGTGTGCTGCTGTTGCGCAGCACAAAACGCATAAAAATCAACTGATAAGTCACGTTATTTGACCTAATAAAATTCTCGATATTTTTACTCTCAGTCGAAGCTTAAAATTAGCATAAACTTGGGCTTGAGATCGCAAGTCAGAGTATAACGAAGCTTGGGGGCTGTTTTTATTTAGTTCAATAATTTTCCGCATTTTACTTCTGAAATTTTGAGTGTGCAGCTTTCCCTCTTCTTAAGTCATGGTATTAACCCGAATTTGGAGCTGAGACGTTAGCCGGATTTAAACAGACTCCCCTTCTCCTCCTCCCTCCCCCTCCCCTCCCCCCCACCTCGCTGCTCCCCTTGAGTTTTTTCTTTTTGATTATGGTCAAATTACAGCCTTCGTAGTTTCGGTTTGAAAACATTACTACATCACAATGGCTTTCTTTTTTTGTTTATGCAAAAGAAATGTGCCCGACCAGTAATTTGCTATTGTTGACCCTTCCAAAGCTACATCATTTGATGAAAGCAAAGTTAGCATATGTAAAAAGAGAGAGATCACAAGAACATCTCATCACTGACCGAGAATTTCTAAGAAGGGGGAGGAGGGGCGATTTGCAGTTTGAATGAGTAGCATCTCGGTGTCCTTGATTCGGTCACCAGCGCTGTCACCGCTGCTATCATGAATCCCATTCGTCGCGTCACTCTCTCGCTGGAATACCACTACCGATACCCATCCATCAAATAGCGTTACATGCATCAGTGCTTTTCTTGCAGCGAGAAGTCTCTGCGACTATCTAAAAAACAGTTAAGCGTTCTACAAAGGCACCAAACTGTCAGTGCTCTCTTCGGCCTTTCCGGTCCCAGCCGCCTTCCCTTTAGCATCGAATTCGCAGGCAATCAAGCTGCTTCTGATTTTCAAGAATCTCTGGCACCATACGGTCATCAACAACTAGAATATCGTCCTGACAAGAAAATAAAATTCAATAAACACCACACATTTTACTTTGTGGCTCCCAAAGAGATGACGAACAACAAACAGGCGGTAGGAACTAACCGGGCGTATACAGCTTAGAGCCGAAGAATCTGAAGAGCTGCTCAGGGTATGTAGGTTCATCATAGCAACGTCACTAGTATGGGATACCCAAAGCGATTGACTGTTTGTCGGTGCTTAAACTGTCATCGATGTTATCATGGTAGAGCTGTTCGGCGAGCCGAGTTTATACCATACTTTCTACGCCAGGACATTTGCTACCACTCGGTCGCCACCGTCATAATAGATCGTGGCACTACAAATTTCACTATATACATCGGTTCAAGAAGACATAACCACTTGCCGAGCAAAGCTATTTTGAGCTGTCCCGGTGTCAGATGCTTCCTTTTTATGAGTATCCGTCTATAGTTGCACAGTAACGACTTAAAAAAAAACCACTTGACTTCTCTGCCTTTTAATACCAATTATTGCTAGGAATGAAGAAGTCAACT